GTGGTTTCAGGACAGAGGGCCTGGCAAGGGACAATGTATAGTCGTTTGGATGGGAGAAAAAACAAGGTCCTGTGTATACCTTGACGTGCACGTAATAAGATCCCTTGGCAGTTGGAATTCAGTATAAGAGTAGGGCATAGCAGCTGTCCAGGCAACATTTCCCTCAGTCGTAGCAGATAGTTGGACATTAAACCCTATTTCATTTCATTATCAATATGAAATTCATATCCTGGACATGGGTTTCCAACCATCTGTCAGTTTGGTTTTCCAGATGTGTTTTACATTAACATTTGAGATATTTAGTGGAAATTTAGTACACTGCTCTATATAGCAGAGCTATAGAGATAAAGTTTGTGTTTTATTGGATTCTTTTAATTTATGATGGCTGAGTTCGAATTTCGTGAAAATCAAACCAAAACTGCCGGACAAAATGGCCACCTCTCGTACGCAAATAGTGTAAATATATGGTATATCCAGGTTTTGGATCCTCTAGAGGCCACAATTTTGATCACAAAGATCTTGTTTCCTGTCGATAATCACGCATATCCGAATGTAACTTCCTGGATTATGGCCGCTAATTGTTCGAAAAATCACATTGTTAGCTTGTGGACCTGCTAGAAGTCACAATTTGTATTCAATTTTTAAAAAATGTTTAAATATATCACCATTACACATCAATGAAGGTTGAGTTAAAATTTCGTAAAAATCGGACCCAAACTGCCGGACAAAATGGCTGTTCCTTGTACGCAAATAGTGTAAAAGCAGGATCTTAATTGGCTGTTTTTTGTCGGCTTTAGCCGCTTGAAGTTTAATCAAGTCAATTGGTAAAACATTGAACCGGCCATAAATCAATCTACTTTTGGCTAAATTACAACGGGTTAATTATTACTTGTTAATTAGGTAGTCAATCAACTTACTTGTCGGCTACAACAACAGTCATCTATCTTAGTGATTGAGAATTGGCCATGTAGTTCATAATCCAAGTAATTAGCACAAGTAACGGTAATTTTGATAATCGGGTAAAAAAAAACAAAACAAGCTTTCTGATTATGCATAACAAGTCCAGTAAGTTACCTTTGAGGAAATAAGGCATGTGGCAATCAAAGGAAGACGATCTTGGCATGGATTGTGTATATATCGCGCCTCTTCGATGCTCCATATGAATTCTAGGTGTACGAGTAGATATTAAAATTATATGAATCATAATTTAATGGTTTCACTAACCGGTTGTTAGTTAAATTTAAATCTTAGTTGAATATAATCCTCGGATAGAACACCGAGAAACAGTCATAATATATTATGAATCTCTAATACCGAATCCCCAATGACATGTGACATCAGTTGAATTAGGTCAATAAACCAGAGATGCTAGTTTTAGTTTTAAATAGAGTTTACCATATGAATTTTTATTTTATACACATCCTGACAGAGGCTTAATTTTTTAAAAAATATTGTCGTTAATATTATTGAAAGCTATATGGCTTAGTTGTATGGAATTTAATTTTATAGCCATTTCAGTTTAGTTTGTCATGTGGTCACTGTGCCATGTGTCTATCATGGACGAATGAATAAAAACATTTCAAAGTTATGTGATAGAAAAAAAACCCTACAAATTGCATTAACCCTATGTAAAAGTATGCAATACCAAGGTTGTGGACCCTCTAGAAGTCACAATTTTTATCTGATTTTGATGAAACTTGTATGATTATAATCCACAGATCTTGGTTCCTGTCGATATTTGCGCATATCAGGCTGTATCTTCCTGGATTATGGCCCCTGATTGTACGAAAAATCACGTTTTTAGCTTGTGGACTATCTTGAAGTCACAATTTTCATCAGATTTTTAAGAAACTTAAAATATATAGAGGATATTTGTCGTTTTAGAGTGAATAACATATTTTATTTCATCGAGAAGCAAGAAAACTGATATTTTCATGAATGCGTAGCATGAGTGAAAATATAAACGTTTTCTTGCTTAGAGATGAAATAAAATATGTTATTCACGACAAAACGACAAATGTTCTATTTATTTTATGATTTTACAATCATTTTAGGCAAAAACAACATGGACTACTGCTAGCCAGTGGAATAACACTTTTATTTCACTGATAAAACGCGGTATTCAGCTACTGATCATAAAATAAATCTTTATATCCTGAATATCTCAGTCCATTTTGATATTCGTGCATTTCAGATCATAACTTCCTGGATTATGGCCCCTGATTGTACACAAAATCTTCTCTTTTTTTTTATATCTTGTTCTCTATCCATCTCTTGCAAAATGTGGGCATGTCAGTTTTTTTATTGGATGACCTGATAATCTATTAGCATTCCATAAGAGGTTTAAACAGTGTGTGATGCATGTTCTGTACTTCATAACGAACAGTAAATTTCACCTACACATTATTTTTGTCCCCCACCTTTCGAAGAAAGCAGGGGACTATTAAAATGGGTTTGTCCGTCTGTCTGTCCGTCAGCACTTTTTGGGGACACAATAACTCTCCTTCTAATTGCGCTAGAATTTTCAAACTTGGTGTAAGTGTTTATTAGGTTGATGCCTTGATTGAGTTCAAAGATGAGCATTTTCTGCGTAGGGTAAGCAGAGATAAGCAATTTGATTGGTTGATGCTTTGGGACACGATAACTTTAGGTTTAATTAAGTGAGAGTGATCAAACTTGGTGTGTAGTTTCATTACATCAATATCGTGACTAAGTTTGATAATGAACATTTTCTGCTGAGGGTAAGCAGTGCTATACGCAATTTGATTGGTCGAGACTTTGGGACACAATAACTCTCCTTCTAACTGAGCTAGAATTTTGAAACTTGGTGTAGGTGTTTATTAGGTCGATGCCTTGATGGAGTTCGAAGATAAACAATTTCTGTTTAGGGTAAGCAGCGATAAAGAATTTGATTGGTTGATGCTTTGGAACACGATAACTTCAGTTCTAATTAAATGAGAGTGATGAAACTTGGTGTATAGTTTCATTACATCAATACCTTGACTAACTTCGATTATGAACAATTTCTCCTGAGGGTAAGCAGAGCAATAAGCTTAGTTTTAGTTGATAATCAGTTTGATGGCTCGATAGTTTTAAAAAAGATAAACGTGCAATTAATTAATATGTGTCATCTATTTTTTTCAGTATTTCGGTAGGGGATATCAGCCTCACTGTTAGCTTGCTATAAAATAAAATCTGGTTTTATCCAAAAAACGTATAGTACAGCTTAGGAGTCTCCATTTCCAGATGAAAACTGGCGGGTTTAAGTTGTTTAAAAAAGTATCATGTATTTTTATACGCCCACATTGAAATGTGGTCGTATATTGTCGTTGCTCCCGTTCGTTCGTCCGTCCGTCCGTCCGTCCGGCGGTCCGGCGTCCACAATTGCTTGTGGGCGCTCTAGAGGCTAAAGTTAATATCCGATTGATTTATATTTATATACAGTGTTTAAGGCCATGAGACGAAGAAGCCTATTGATTTTCAACGATTTCCGATAATTACTGCCAGAGTTATGGCCCTTGATCACTTCAAAAAATCTTGTGGACGCTCTAGAGGCTAAAGTTAATATCCAATTGACTATAAATTTATACACAGTGTTTAAGGTCATGAGGCGAAGAAGCCTATTCATTTTCAGCGATTTCCGATAATTACTGCCAGAGTTATGGCCCTTGATCACTTCAAAAAATCTTGTGGACGCTCTAGAGGCTAAGGTTAATATCCGATTGACTTTAAATTTATACACAGTGTTTAAGGTCATGAGACGAATAAGTCCATTCATTTTCAGCGATTTTTGATAATTACTGCAAGAGTTATGGCCCTTGATCCCTTAAAAAAAATTTTGTGGACGCTCTGGAGGCCAAAGTTAATATCCGATTGACTTTTGATTTATACACAGTGCTTAAGGTCATGAGACGAAAAAGCCAATTGATTTTCCAGCAACTTACGATAATTACTGCCAGAGTTATGGCCCTTGATCACTTTGAAAAATCTTGTGGATGCTCTAGAGGCTAAAGTTATTATCCAATTGACTTTAAATTTATACACAGTGTTTAAGGTCATGAGATGAAGAAGTCTATTCCTTTTCAGTGATTTTCGATAATTACTGCCAGAGTTATGGCCCTTGATCACTTAAAAAAATCTTGTGGATGCTCTAGAGGCTGAAGTTGATATCTAATTGACTTTAAATTTATACACAATGTTTGAGGTCATGAGACGAAGAATCCCATTGATTTTCAAAGATTTCCGATTAATTACTGCCAAAGTTATGGCCCTTGATCACTTTGAAAAAGTTTTAGTGTATTATAAATGTTTCATTACCGAAAAAAGTAAAATATGCGACAACACTTGTTGACTGCCCGGACGAATTAGCTGCTCTGGGCGTATGTTTCGTTGCCTGGCAACCTATCTTTAGTTGAGTTAAGGTAGAGGTTTTTAAGGGCTTTTAACACAAAATTAAGCAGTTTTATTCTCCAATATATATTGGAGTTTACATAGATTGAGGTGTAAAATTAATACAATCCAATGTCAACTTTAAATGGTTATGAGTTAAATTAGATGTGTTTGATTAGAACAATGTTTGGAGCAACTGGTTTTTAATCAAATATTTTTAATTGTATATAATTTTATATTTTAATAGCCTTTATATTTTGGCATGTTGGGACTTCAAAGGATCCTTCCATTTACAAAAAGAAATCCTGTACAATGACAGGTGGTTCTGAATGACTGCTCTTATTTCCTATATAAATTTAGGATGGAAATACAAAAATGAACATCCATTTGATCAAATTTCAGTCGATGACAGTATTTTGATAAGAATTGATCTAAGTTGAGCAGCTGTAACCATTAGATCATGATGAAAATGAAAAGCTTGGCAAATGTGATCTCATCTTGAATAATAGTATAAAGCAGGTCATTTAATAAATACCATAACCTTCACTTGTCAATTAAAGATAGGGTAGGGAAGTGAAATCTAATCATGACTGTTTGTAATTTTATTTCAGAAATCCAGCCCATCCTTTTATCATAGTGCTGACATATCGTCCTGAATGTTGGAATATTCTTCACCAACAGGTTTACAGTCTGTATTATCACACCGATAACAGGTAATTACAATCAGTTAATTAAAAATAAATAATAAATCAAATATATCTCTTAAAAGTATTTCAAATTAGAAACATATGGTTTGTGTAATGTCACGGATGCATGATATGAAGAAGACCATGCATGATTTGAATTGAAATAGTTTATCCCACACAGATTGCGAACATAGATAAAAGAAAGAAACAGTAATTATTTATTTCATTCAATTCTGTTTCTATCACAAATATTATTTTCAGTTACTGATTAACAAAAGCTATCATGCATAAGGGTTACAAACTTCATTTTTTTTGTTTTAATTATCTTGAGATTCCAGGCTTTTTTTCAACATCTAAATATTCAAACATAATTTAACAATACACAGCAGCTATCGGAAGTTACTTCAAATCAAACATCTTGATATACCGGTACCAAGATACCCAAATATAATTATCCCTTCCCAGTATCTTAACAAGAACCTGATTTCTAGATCCTAGAATCTCAACATCTTATACAGCACATTATTGGCCTGTATTGGAACTGATCCTGCCCCATTTATGGCTGATACCCATTTATATAGATAAGCTAAATGCTTAAATTATACCTTCTGATACATTGATGACATAACATATATCGGTGATAGTGGAACTTTCAATAAACATGAAATCTATTCTTCTAAATTAGTACAAAATAAAGAAAATACTTGCACATTAACTGCCTCCTATATATATAAATGATAAAAAATTTAATGTCACAATTTTTGATAAATCGGACAAATGTTTGTGTGTATTTATAACCATTTTCTTCAGTGTACTAACATTGAGATGATATGTTAGTGAAATGTTCCCTTATTCGTGCATTGTCTTTTGAGTTTGTTTTCATTTTGAGTCAGTATATTGTGTGGTCCTCCTGTCCAAGCATACTAAGCTTAGGCTGCCTGTCTACAGTTAGCTCCGCTTGAGAACAGAGACACTAAGCTAGTTGACTGACATTAAAAATCCTAAATCGACAATTTTAGTCAAAAACACTAAATATACTTTGAGAATTTTGTTAAGTATTTATTCTGCTTCCATTTAATAAAATTTAAAATTTTTATTTAGTCTTTGTGTGGATGAGGGATGTGAAACGGAGTAGAACCGCATTACAAAACAGTATACTAATGTTTGGATATGGCGGCCATTTAGGGCAGAGTTCTATTCTCAAAGTTTGAAGTAGATGCATTTTTGTGTGCCGAATGTGGTCCAAGGTTTGTCCTCTGGGATTCTGTTTGTTTTTCTGTGATGTGAATCTCCTGAGCTTACTGTGGTCATCAACATCGGCGGCGGTCCATAAAAAAGCCACCGGTTCTATTTTTGTCTTTATTGTTTCTTGCTCGTAGACTGAAATTATATATCAATTAAAAATTTATTCACTAGCAATGGTTTGAATTTTGACACATTTATTTCTAATTTATTGTTTTCCATCAATTGTAGTCACAAATGCGTAGTAACAATGTAAATCCATGATTTAGTTGTTGTTTCCTCTAATGCTATCTAATGCCTTCCCACAAATACCCTAATTTAGATAGTCTGAACTCCACAGCAATGAAAAAGCTAAGAATGAATGTTTGATGGCAATAACAATACAAAAGAAGAATAAATGGAAACATAAAGAAATGAATAAGATGATCAGTTGCCAGACATAATAATGTTTGTCTCTACAATAAAACTGTTTTGTAGTTACAAGACGAATTTCATTTGAATTAATTTGTTTGCAATATAATTCATTTTTTGATGTTTTTGTTAGTGATGCTCGATAAGTTTGGTTTAACAGGGCCTTGGAATGAAATTGATTTTGAAGGGAGAGGTGAAAGGGTGCCAGCGCAGCAAACCAAATTATTTTTTTGTAGGGGGCGGGCTTGCCTCCAGTAAAATTTTTGTCCCCCGCCTTTCGAAGAAAGCAGGGGACTATTAAAATGGGTTCGTCCGTCTGTCTGTCTGGACACAATAACTCTCTTCCTAATTGAGCTAGAATGTTCAAACTTGGTGTATGTGTTTATTAGGTCAATGCCTTGATGGAGTTCGAAGATGAGCATTTTCCGCTTAGGGTAAGCAGAGATAAGCAATTTGATTGGTTGATACTTTGGGGCACGATAACTCTCTTCCTAATTGAGCTAGAATGTTCAAACTTGGTGTATGTGTTGATTAGGTCAATGCCTTGATGGAGTTCGAAGATGAGCATTTTCCGCTTAGGGTAAGCAGAGATAAGCAATTTGATTGGTTGATGCTTTGGGACACGATAACTTTAGTTCTAATTAAGTGAGATTGATGAAACTTGGTGTATAGTTTCATTACAGTAATACCTTGACTAAGTTTGATAATGAGCATTTTCTGCTCAGGGTAAGCAGAGCGATACGCAATTTGATTGGTCGAGACTTTGGAAAACAATAACTCTCCTACTTTGATTGTTAGACTATAAGTAAAGATATACTGTTTGATTGTTCAATACTTTGTAAAAGATAATTTGTGATAAATTTATATGTGTCCTCTAATTATTTTCCTATTTCGGCGGGGGACATCAGCCTCACTGTTGGCTTGTTAAACTTAGGTCTGATATTCACAAATTATTTGAGAGGAGGGGGGCTGAGGCCTTCCCAATCCCACTCTTCCACTGTAACAGATGAATATATAAATTTGCCCACATTCTACATTGCCTCGGGAGCCACGGTGGCTAGGTGGTTAAGACGCTGGCTCGCTAGCCTGGAGGTCATGTGTTCGATCCCTGCATTGGCCGAGAAAGTTCATCTGGATTTTCTGACGTGGTTTCCCCTTGTCAGTGGTGCAGAACGGAGGGCCTGACAAGGACAGCTGTCTAGTCCTTCAGTTGAGATGAAAAACCGATGTCCCGTGTATACATTGGAATGCACGTAAAAGATCCCTTGGCAGTGGCAGTTGGAATTCAATATAAGAGTAGGCGATAGTGCCGCTGCCCGGGCAAAATTTCCCTCATAGCACACTGTATGGCGTATGCCCGTCTTCATTAGCCCAGTATAGGAGCAGAACAGTAGGACGTTAAACCCCATTTCATTTCATTTCATTTCTACATTGCCTCAGGGGGTCACGGTGGCTAAGTGGGTAACACCCTGGCTTGCTAGCCTGGAGATCAGATGTTCGATCCCTGCATTGGTGTAGAAAGTTCATCCAGATTTTCCAGCGTGGTTCCCCCCTATCAGTGATGCAGGACGGAGGGCCTGTCAAGGACAGCTGTCTAGTCGTTTGGATGGGACAAAAAAAACAAGGTCCCGTGTACACATTGGCGTGCATGTAAAAGATCCCTTGACAGTTGGAATTCGATATAAGAGTAGGCCGTAGTGCTGCTGTCCGGGCAAAATTTCCCTCATAGCACACTGTTTGGCATATGCCCGTCTTCATTAGCCCAGTTCGGATCAGAACAGTAGGACATTAAACCCTATTTCATTTTATTTATATTGCCTCATTCTGTACATGATCAGTTTATATTCCTTTGAGAATCATAGAAACATAACTGTTTGGGCAAAAGGGACTGCAGATTGTTCCTAAAAAGTTAAATTGTTCTTCATTTTTGTGGTTGATGATTTTGCAGCATCTGCATCCATGGAACATAAGTCACATTAAATAGCTCTTTCTGACCCATCAGAAGTTTGTCCATAACATAATTTTTATACATCCACATTTTCACTCCCACAGAGGTCACAATGCTATTTGATTTTGACGAAACTTTTAAAGATATACATGTATGTTTATATCCAAAAGATCTTGGTTCCTTTCGATATTCAGGCATATCGGATGTAACTTTCTGGATTATGGCCCCTGAATGTAGGAAAAATGACATATTTAGCTTGTGGACTGTAATGGTCACAATTTTTATCAGATTTTAACAATTGTTTGAATATACCACTGTTACACCATAATGACGCTTGACAATTTTTATCTGATTTTGCCAAAACTTTATTATACTATAGGTTTATATCCCAAAGATCTTGGTTCCTTTGTTTGAATATACCACTGTTACACCATAATGACGCTTGACAATTTTTATCTGATTTAGCCAAAACTTGTATTATACCATAGGTTTATATCCCAAAGATCTTGGTTCCTTTCGACATTGGCATGTATCGGATTATAATTTCATGGATTATGGCCCCTGATTGCATGGAAAATCGTGTCATTAGCTTGTGGACACTCTAGAGGTCACAATTTTTATCCGATTTTAATGAAACTTAAAGATACATTATGGGAGATTAGTTAAAGAGCTGGCAGTTCTCACTATAATAGTTAAAAACTAGATAATATAAAGGGAATTTGCTGAAAATTTCAGTCAAATTCATCCACTCTTAACCAAGAATTTAGCGATTGAATTTTCGGCCTAGCCTCAATGATCATTACTAAAGTCGGTACGATAAAAAACATATCCATTTCATGATTAAATCATGAATGAAAGTTGAGCAGCAAATTGGATCCTAATCCAGTAAATATCACAGGCTAGCAATCACATTAAGAGTTCATTATGGTCTGGATAAGTTAATTAATATCTAATTAATAATTTAGATAACATTTCAGGCCTAAAGAAAGACCTGCAATAGGCAGATTTAGCTTTTGCATAATGTATGTTTAAAATGTATGTTTTTATCCCAAAGATCTCAGTTGCTTTTGATATTGGACCGTAACATCTTGGATTATATTGCCGTTTATTGTATGCTTTTTTTTAGCTTGTTCTCTGTCGATTCTTGCAAAATGCAGGCGTATCTTGCATGGCAACCACTTGTTAAAAACTCTGCCCATAAAATGTTTATCTGTTCTATTTTATGACTTAAATTCTTTTTGAACATAAATAGTGGATCATAATAAAGTTGGCCTGTATTTCTTGCTGATATTTTCTGTAACAAAATTTCTACTTTTCCATTTGGTTTCAGTTGTGCATAATCAGGAGATAAATCTGATTAATGAGGCAGACAATAGGCATGATATTTGTTGGATAATGATAAATCATGGAACAAGTAGATCAGAAT